CCCTGAAACCTGAACCCTAAAATCCTTGCTGGAATGATCGTTCCAACAGGCAGCAAGGCAGGACCCTAACACCCGAACCCCAACAAAAACCCCCAAAACAACCAGGGTTTAGGGTTTAGGGTTTAGGGTATAGGATTCAGGGGTTTAGGGTTTAGGGATTAGGGGTTTAGGGGTTTAGGGTTTTGGGTTTAGGGTTTAGGATTTGGGGCCTAGGGTGCACAACAATTCCTCTCCCGCAAGGTCAATCGCCTCATTCAAGACCATGCAGCAGAGGTTGGTGGTGATGGCTCCAACTACTACATGGCCCAGGTGCGGAGCGAGGAGGGGTCGTATTTTTGAATGGGGGTATTGTACTACCCAGTACAGAGTAACAATTGAGTCAACAGCCACAAAACGGTACTCGTGCGTTATCTTTGTTTCGTTCACGCTGCTATTGTTGTATTTGCCTTAAGTAAGTGTGTTCGCATTGCAACTTGCTTCATCAGAAGTGCTATATCAGGTGGGCCCTCCACCTTGTAATAGTGGCGATATGGGATAATAAGGATTCTACTAGGGTCCTACTACATTCCTGTCAACCACTATTACAGGGTGGGGGTCCTACGTGATACAAGTTGTGTGCCGTTGGCCCCACCGTTTGCCACGAAAGGCCAAAATGGCTATGCTGGCCAAACAGTTCCAGCGCGCAGAGGCCACCGTTCCCGTTGCTATTATTGTTATTGCTACTGTGTTGTGTGTGTGTGTGTGTTTTTTTCTTTTCGGGCTAGTTTTTCTGCTGTCACTGTTTATATTTGTATTCGTACTGTTACTACTAGTACTGGTACTAGTACCAGTACTAGTACTTGTACCATAGTACCACTTTTCGTCAATCTCTTCCGGTGGTGTACGCCTTCCGACCCTTGGGACTACTCCTCTTCCTACTGCTCTTCATATTACGCTTACGCCCGCTATGATTATCAGGTTTACTGCCTTGAGAGCTGCTTATTTAGGTATTGATAGCTGGACTTTGGGTTTAGGGGTTCAGGGTTTAGGGTTGCTTCCATGCTGTTCATTGCTGTGGCGCATCTTAGTGCAGATCGCTATCTCATTTCTCAAGCTTCTCAGATCGCTGGTTACAAAATGTCATCTACCGGTTCCCAGTAGGGCTTCCCTCTAGTATAGCGTCCCAATATAATCCCTTAAACGGTATATGTATCCCCATTCCTTGCTCACCACACCAACCCCGGAACCGTGAACTCTAAACCCTACAAACCCTAAATCATGTGATTAGTAGCTTCCATTTTCTTTCTGCAGGGTTGTTGATTGAAGCCCTAAGCCCCCTCAACCCTAAACCCTAAACCCAAAACCCTAAACCCAAAACCCAAAACCCTGAACCCTAAACCCTAAAAACCACAAAAAGGCCATCCTATTGGACCACAATGAGCTGGATGAGGCGCTGGCCATGTATCAGGAGCCCTCCTTGAGATGCCAAGGGGTTTAGAAGTTTGGATAAGTAAGGGTTAGGGGTTTAGGGTTTAGGGTTCAGGGTTCAGGGTTTAGGGTTTAGGGTTTAGGGTTCAGGGTTTAGGGTTTAGGGTTTAGGGGGACCACACTACAGACCCCAAATATTATAATCCTTGTTCCCTAAGCCCTGAACCCTAATTTTGGGGAAACCCTCATTTCTTGAAATGGGAAGAGACGCAGCTGGGAGGTGTATGGGTAGTTGCAGGTGGATAGGGTTTAGGGTTTAGGGTTTATTAGGATGATTGTGGTTACTAAGTAATGTGGAGGGCCTGCAACTACGCTAGATATTTCTTCTGGACCTGCAAGTAGGAATACATTCCAATCAATACAAGCATCAACCCTAAACCCTAAACCCCGACCCCTACTAAACCCTACACCCTAATCCCTAAACCCTAGACCTGGAACCCTGACCCTAAATAAACTGCAAACCCTAAATCCTAATCCCTAAACCCTAAACTGCTTGAGGTAAAGGGTTGAGAAACTTTCCGATTTTCGCTCCTCTCGTCATGGCAGTGTTTACATGCATGTGGTTTAGGGCTTGGGGCTCTAGGGTTTAGGATTTAAGGTTAAGGGTTTAGGGTTTTTGGGTTTAGGGATTTGGGTCATAGCTTTCGCTACATGAGCTACCGTCATGGAGGCACCATTAATGGTGGAAAGGGGTCCCGTTTGTAGTTTTGTATACTCCTAGTCTATTCTGGCGGAACCCACGTCCATGAGGAGTATTGAACCCTAAACCCTAAACCCTAAACCGCTTGTATTACGATGCAGCTTCAGGAGTACTGGTATTGCCATGTGTTGCAGCCGGAGCCCTAAACCCTAAACCCAAAACCCTAAACCCAAAACCCAAAACCCTAAACCCAAAACCCTAAACCCTAAATCCGCAACCCAAACCCTGAGCCCCAAAGCCAAAAACCTAACCCTACACCTACCTTAGGAGGAGCCCAATATCACCCTCCTTAAATAGTAGTTTCCATTTTCTTTTCCATTATCCCTATATAATCCCCAATATTCCCTAAACCCTAACACCTACCCTAAACTGCAGGAACTCCACAAGTATAACGAGTCCATCCAGCTCGCGGAACGCAAGAACCACCCCAAGGCGCCGATTTTGGTAAAGCCCGTATTTTCATGAGTGTAGTATTGTTTGGGGATACTATGGTACCCAACATAGAGTAAGATTCTATTCTCCTTTTGGGGTATAGTATTTTTTTATATGGATTAATATCTTACTAGGTTTAACCGCCAAAAAAAACGTTACCCATGAGACCGTGATGGCCTGTGCCACAGGGGTCGCCTCTTTTCGGTGATCTCGGAGTAGCCCGTATTTTCAGTTGCACTTTTCATGGACTCTGTGACTGCTTCCAGTGTGAGAGATTTGCCCTGCCAGTTGGTGCACCTCAAGAATTACTACCTGCAATGGCTGCTTTCCACACAGCAGGAGGCCACCGCATCTGAGTTTGTAGCACAGCCTTCTTCAAGGGTCCATGGGTAGTCGTGATTCGGGGAAGCTATACTTGGCTCATTTCGGATACTGACAGCTCTACTTGTAACTATAGTCCCCGTAAAGTAGATACAATATGGGGTATATGGGGATCTTCTTATAATATACCCAAAGTGATATTCTATCTACTTAAGGGGGACTATACATGAACCCTCAAGTGTGATGGCATGTTTTCGGCCCAAGGAGAAGGCTGGGGAACTCCAGGAGATCGATGGCGATTACGTCAGGCTTGTGGCTCTGCGCTTCCAGGGATGCAAATTCCCGGGCTTGCTATGCCCCTATATATCCCTCTCTATAACTTTATATAACCCCATATGACCCTTCATAACCTTACATAACCTTACATAACCTTACATAACCTTACATAACCTTACATAACCTTACATAACCTTACGTAACCTTACGAAGCCTGCCAGTGGTAGCCAGCGTTGACCTACACCGTGGGTTGAGATTGCCTGTGCCGCCTGCTGCAGTTTGGCTTACAAACACGAGGGAGCCATGGCGATGTACGCCCCGCAGCTTCCTGTCCTGTGGCCTTTGCCAGCCACCACCCAGCCGGGCGCCGCATCTGCGGCAGGCGCGCAATGACAGAAACCTTGGGGTGGCAAAGCATCAGAGTTCTGCGACCTTCCCGACATCAGAATCTCTAGAATCCCCGAGATGAATCCAGTTCACATTTCAGTTTATCACTTTTATTGATGATTTTCCATGTTGGGCTAATATCCCTGTTCTCTAGATCATCCCCATACAAGATCATATGACTCTCTATGACCCCTATATGTCTCTCTCTATAACCTCATTTGACCCTCTTTGACCCTCTACAATCCTGAATAACCTCACGTTACGCTACAACGCGCAATGAAAACCTACATGGGATCCTTATATATCCCTAATAAGCCGTAAAGCCTGAATCCTAAACGCTGAACCCGGGCGCTTAAAAAACCTTAACCCTAAACCCTAAAACTTAAAAGTTGAAGCCTAAACCCTAAACCCT